AATATTAAAAAAAAAAAAGAAAAATAGGGCCAGACATATGGTTCAGTGCTTGAGTGCCCCTGCATTCAATCCCCGGTACCTGCCCCCAAGGGGAAAAACAAAAAAGTAAACCCAGGGTGGTGGCACAAGCCTGTATCCCAGCAACTCACGAGGGTAAATCAGGAGAATTGTCAAGTTTGAGGCCAGCCTCAGCAATTTAGTAAGGCCCTACACAACTTAGCAAGGGTCTGGGGTTGTGGCTCAGCGGTAGAGCACTCACCTAGCACACGCGGGCCCCTGAATTTGATCCTCAGCAGCACATAAAAATAAAACAAAGGTATTGAAGAAAAGTCTCTCAATAGATATAGAAAAGAGGCATTTGACAAAATTCAGCACCCTTTCATGAGAAAACAATACTGAGTGTAGAAGGAAATTAACATAAATATGAAAAAAAAAAACTTTTCCTCTAACAGCGTAAAGATGTCCACTCTCACCACTTTCTTTGAACGTAGTATAGAATTGGAAAGCCTAGCCAGAGCAAGGTTTAAGAAAGAAAAATAAAATCTATCCAAATCAGAAGGAAGATTTAAAATTATCTGTTTGCATATGACATGATCCATATATACAGAAAATCCCAGAGACACCATACAAAAAGCTGTTGGAAGGTGGGAGTGGTGACACATGCCTATAATCCCAGCTACTTGGAGGGCTGAGGCAGAATTGCAGACTCAAGGCCTGAACAACTTAAGTTATTGAGACCCAAGTTGAAGGCCAGCCTCAGCAACTTAATGAGGCCCTAAGCAACTTAAAAAATAAAAAGGTGCTGGGGATTTACCCCAATGACTAAACACTTTTTTGGGGGAAGGTACCAGGGATTGAACTCAGGGGTGCTCAACAAGAGCTATACCCTCAGCCCTATTTTTGTATTTTATTTAGATCCTCCTGTCTCAGCCTCCCGAGCAACTGGGATTACAGGCATGTGCCACTGTGCCTGGTGATAAAGCACTTCTCTATCATGTGCCAGACCCTGGGTTCAATACGCACTACTGTTAAAAAAATTCTAAAAAATTGTGGGGTGTGCTCAGAGCAGAGGGCCTGAAGAATACTTCTCTGTTTACAACACACCCAACAGGAATATGGGGTTATTGTGACAAGGGGCACAAAAATTGTGGTTTCCCTATGAACAAATGCCCTACATGTGTACCCTCCATGTGACTTTCAGACAGGACCAGTGAGACCATTTATTTATTCTTTTTTTTTTAAAGATACAGTGAGAGGGAGGGAGAGAGAGAGAGAGAATTTTTAATATTTATTTTTTTAGTTATTGGCGGACACACACCTTTGTTTGTATGTGGTGCTGAGGATCGAACGAACCCAGGCCGCACGCATGCCAGGCGAGCGCGCTACCACTTGAGCCACATCCCCAGCTCCCACCGACCATTTAGAGCCTGTCCAGTCCATGCATTGGTTGGCCTTGGGTGGTCCTAGAAATAAAGACTTTGAACCTCTCAAAAAAAAAAAAAGAAAGAAAGAAAATTACAAAAGCAACTTTTTTTGGTACCAGGGATTGAACTCAGAAGAGCTTAACCACTTAGCCACATCCCCAACTCCTTTTATTTTGAAACAGGATCTTGCTAAATTGCTTCAGGTCTCACTAAATTTCCAAGACTGGCCTTAAACTTGTCCTCCTGCCTCAGCCTCCTGAGTTGCTGGGATTACAGGCATGTTCCACCATGCCCAGCTTTTACCAAATTTTTTTTTTTTTTTTAGAGAAAGAGTTTTTCAATATTTATTTTTATTTTTTAGTTTTCGGCGAACACATCTTTGTTTGTATGTGGTGCTGAGGATCAAACCAGAGCCGCACACATGCCAGGCGAGCACACTACCACTTGAGCCACATCCCCAGCCCCTTACCAAAATTTTTTAAAAATAATAAATATAGGGCTGGGGCTCAGTGATAGAGCACTTTCCTAGCATGTGTGAGGCACTGGATTTGATCCTCAACACATGTATAAATAAATGAATAAAATAAATGTCCATCAACATCTAAAATTTTTTTTTAAATCAAAAAGCAAAGGAGAATTATTGAACTATTAGGAGACAGTGTAGGCTAGTATGTTTAAGGCCTTGGGATGAACAAATTTAGCTGTATTTAACCTTTTTTTTTTTTTTTTTTTTTTTTTTTACCAGGGATTGAACTCAGGGGCACTCAACCACTGAGCCACATCCCCAGCCCTGTTTTGTTTTTTATTTAGAGACAGGGTCTCACTGGTTGCTTAGGGCCTCATTTTTGCTGAGGCTGGCTTTGAATTCACGATCCTCCTGCCTCAGCCTTCCAAGGCACTGGGATTACAGGTGTGCACCATCATGCCAGCTGTATTTAACCTCTTGTTTGCCATTATTGTGGTATATTCACACTGTGGATTCTGTGCAGCAATGAGAATAGGTTTATATTTATCAAATGACATCATTAAAGGAGTAAAAAGGTAAGTCAGAGGGAAAATATATAATTTTATATATAAAATTCATATGTAGGGCTGGGGTTGTAGCTTAGTGATAGAGTACTTGCCTTGCATGTATGAGGCCCTGGGGTTTGATTCTCAGCACCATATAAAATAAATAAATAAAAATAAAGATATTATGTTCATCTACAACTAAAAAATTATTTAAAAAGAAAAACAAAAAATACAAAATTCATATGCAGAATATAGTTTCTACAAATAAAGGCAATTCAATAGAAAAATGAACAAAAGTTTTAAAAAGACACTTTGCACAGGTAATGGGAAAACATGTTTGATTTCATTAGTCTTCAGAGAAATGCACATTTAAACCACAATGAGATGCCATCCTCTCACTAGAATGGCTCACATTTGCCAGACAATACCAAGTGTTGGTGAGGATGTAGGGAGCTCTCATACACTGCTGGAGAATGTGCAAATTAGTACAACATTGAGAAACTGGTAATATCCATTGAAGCTGAAAATATGCATATCGTATCCACTTCTAGGCATATCTCAACAGAAATGGCCACGTACTTTCACTAAAGGACCACAAACATGCTGAGCAGCACTTTTCAAAATGCTTAGCCTAAATGACGCCCGTTGACAGTGGAATGGAAATGACTTGTCTAGTGAGATAGGAAGAAATCAGAAACGGAGAAGTCTGCCAGAGCAGACACTGTGAGATTTGCTAGTTTGTGATGATGATGAAAGACAGACCAACCTCCAGTTCAGCTGCATTTTCCTACCAGCAGCCATCATACTAGAGTACACCACTTTACTGCCTGCATCGGGGAAGAGTGTTCTCTTCTGTCCCAGCATATATATTTTTTATCGTTTTTTTTTTTTTTTTTAAGTGGACACAACACTGTTATTTAGTATTTGTTACTTGGTGCTGGGGATCGAACCCACTGCCTCACACATGCTAGGTAAGCGTCCTACCACTGAGTCCCAGCCCCAGGCGCTGTTGTGGTGTGTTTATGAGATGGAATGCTGGCATGCTATATAGAAAATGAAAACAGGAAAATAAAACTGGCTAGAGATATGAATGAATGTCACAAAGATACTATGAACCAGGCTTGGTGGCTCACAGTTGTAATCCCAGTGACTCAAAAGGCTGAGGCAGGAGGATTGTCAGTTTAAGGCCAGCCTGGGCAAAATAAAATGGGTTGGGGATTGGGGATGTAACTCAGTGGTAGTGGTAGAGTGCTCTTAGATTCAATCCCCAAATCCCCAGTACCAAAAACAAAACAATTGAGTAAAAATATTTAGGTGTAAAAGAATACACACTAGCCAAGCATGTTGCCACACACCTGTAATCCCGGTGACCTGGGGCTGAGGCTGGATAATCTCAAATTCAAGGACAGCCTGGGTAATTTAGGCAGAACTTGTTAAAAGAACTGGGGATATATGTAGCTCAGTGGTAAGCACCCCTGGGTTTAATCCCCAGTACCAAAAACAGAAAAGAGGAAAAAAAAAAAAAAGCAGCACACACTACAGTCTCACTGATGATGAATTTGTTGAGTTACAGTATGTTCAAGACTCAGGTTTAAAAAAAAAACTAAGCAAACTGATAAATTATACAATTGCATCAGAAACATGGGTCTGAAAAATCATAGGATACATAAATATTTGCTATAGTCTAGGTGTATTATTTCATTTTTAAAATGTACATATGGGCTGGGGATGTGGCTCAAGCAGTAGCGCGCTCTCCTGGCATGTGTGCGGCCCGGGTTCGATCCTCAGCACCACATACAAACAAAGATGTTGTGTCTGCCAAAAACTAAAAAATAAATATTAAAATTCTCTCTCTCTCTCCCCCTGCCCCCCTTAAAAAAAAGAAAGAAAATGTATGTGTGTATGGATATATATATATATATATATATATATACATATATATAGTGTATTAAAAATAAATAAAAGTAAAATGTACATGTACCTGCAAATACATGTATTTGGATATACTTTGTCACATTTTTTGTAACAGCAAAAATGTTGGCAGGAATAAAAATGTCTAAGATGAATGGATAAGTGAATTTGAGACTTTTATACAATGGAATACTATACAGCAGTCAAGATGAGTGGGCATGTCTCATCAACTTGAACAACTCCCAATAATTTGATGTTAAGTGAAAAAATAAATTTGCAGAATATTGTATATACAATATCAATATAAGCATATAAGCACAAACAGAAAGGAAGGGGTTAATCACTCTTGAGCACCAACTATGCACCAGGGGGCCTACCTCAGTTAGCCCCTACAGCAACCCTATAAACTAGTTAATAGTATTAGGTGTTTTTCAGAGGTCAGGAAACTGAGGTTCAGTGGGGTCCCACAGAGCCCAGAAGCAAGCCTAGAGCTGCTGACCCCATAGGCTGGCTCCTCATAGCCCGCTCCTCATAGCCCGCCCCTCTCAGGCAGCCCAAGGACCCAGACCTGGGCTTGCTCTGGGCAAGAGGCCCTGTAACTCCAGCCTCTGCTCCCACCCCTGCCCACAGCCTGGGGAAGCCCCAGCTGGGCTGGATTGCCGACAATGCCTCCCATTCAGCCCTGTCACTGCCGCCAGGCCTGCAGGCCAAGGAGGGGGTTCCTGCCAACATCCAGCCAGGGACAGGACTGTTGCTGGCCTTCCCCTTGTGCTGAGCCTCCGGTCTGGGCTGGCAGCTTGAGGCAGAATGGAGGGGTGAGTTTTTGGGCCCCCAGGGTGCAAGGCAGCCTTAGATCGGCTGAGTGGTTGCAGGAAAGTCCCCACTCTTCTCTGGGCCTCTGAGAGTCTGGCAGGCAGGGCCTCTGGGACGTTCCTGGGCCTGAGATTCAACAAGGGTCTCCCAGAGTTGGGTCCTGAGGAACAGTGGAGGGAACGCGGCTGCCCTGGTGCTCCTGGGGCTTGGTCCCTCCGCTGGGAGCAGTCCTGAGCCCTCCACCCTCTGCCAAAGGCCCCTCCCTGAGCCATAGCCTTTGCCACAAGCTCTGGAGAAGACCAGCAGCTCCAAGACGGGGTGGACCCTGGGACTCAAAGGGGACTAAAACAGTGACAGCAGAGACTGGGGAGGCCTGAAGGGCAGCAGCCTAGGCATCAGGAGAGGCCATCGGGAAACAAACAGAACAGAAAGAAGAGCTGGGCAAGTCAGGCGATGCAGAAGCAAAGAGGGGGCTCTGGGCAAAGCCATTCCCGGTATGGCATGGTGGGGGACCACAAGGAGGAGGGCAGGTTTCAGCTGCAGATCAGGAGTCAGGACTTCCACTAAAGACAGTAGGAAGATCTGGGGTGTTTTCAGCTGTGGGTGTCAGGGCCTCAACAGCATTCTGGAAAATTCCCTTTGGTTGCTGGGTGGTGAGTGGAGAAGAGGAGAAGCCAGAAGAGTCACGGTGGCAGCACTCAGAGCTGGGAAGGGGTCTGACGGCGGGTCGACAGAAGCATGGGTGGACAGAAGGATGGATGGACGGATGAATGGGTGGGCAGATGAGCAGGTACATCTTGCCCAGAGCACAATCCACAACTCACACCCTCGTCTCCCTCCCCCTGATCCAATCCTGGTCAGCTGAGGGCTACCAAGGTGAAGGGAGGACAGAGGGAAATAAACAAGACTCCTGAGCTGCCTGCTTGTGTGGCTCTGACCTGCCATACAAGGGCCACCCCAGGATCAGTCTCAGGCCCTACAACGCCTGGTCCTCCAGTCCTGCTGACACTTGAGCTAGGCCTGGGTCCCATTGGACTGCCAATCTGTCTTCTCAAGATGGGCGTCATTATGCCACTTGCTCCTGAGGAGCTGGCACCGTGTCTAAGAATGGGCTGCTCACCACAGCCTGGGGGCATACTGTGACCCCCAGACTCCTCCTCATGTTTGGCCTGTTGTCACTGAGCCTGTGGACAGAGAATCAAAAGGACCCACTGGGTTGACTTTCTGAGCCTTGGTTTCCTCCCATGTAAAACAAAGCCCATAACAGAATCTGCAATGCATGGGGTGAGGAAGAGGCCTAAAGGAGAAAGTCTCTGAGGGGTTCTGGGGCAGAAGCTGCTCAGTGGCTGGGGCTCTGAGATGGACAGTGTTGAGGACTCCACCCCTGTGGACAGCCACTCTCCCCCTGCTTCTCCCAGGCCCCAGAGCTCCACCCATGTCCCCTTGTTGCTGCCGCTGCTTCTGCTGCTGCCACTGGGTCCAGCATGGCAAATAGCTGCCCAACGCTGCCCACAGACCTGCATCTGTGACAATTCCAGGCTGCATGTTGCATGCCGGCACCAGAACCTTACTGAAGTTCCAAATACCATTCCTGAGGTCAGCAGGGCAGGAAATGGGCACAGGGTGGTTAGTTGGGCAGTGGAAGGAGCCTGGGTTGGGAGAGCTTGGCAAGGTATTTTTCTAGGCACCTCAGTCTTCTGTAAAATGGGAAGACTAGCAACCAATATCAGGGAGCTAATCTATTTTAAATCCTTACTGTGTGACTAGATTAAGTAGGTGGCTCATAGATAAACATCAAATCATTGCCAACCATGTGACAGACCTTGTGGGGTTAGCAAGGTGGGATGTAGTCCCTGCCTTATGGTAAAGAGTGAGTGTCAAGACACTGTGAAAGTGTCACAGTGGGATTATCAGTGGCTGGGGAGGAAGGCTTCCTGGAGGAAGGGTCAGGAAGCAGGATGAAGAGAAACGCGGGGAAGGTAAGGGGAGAGGAGTGTCCCCAGCCCTGCCCCTGTGCAGCTCAGCCTTGCTTCCCTCGCTCCCAGCTGACCCAGAGGCTGGACCTCCAGGGCAACATGCTGAAGGTGATCCCTCCAGCTGCCTTCCAAGCCCTGCCTTATCTCACCCATCTGGACCTGCGGCACTGTCAGGTGGAGCTGGTGGCCGAGGGCGCCTTCCGAGGCCTGGGCCGCCTGCTCCTCCTCAACCTGGGCTCCAACCGCCTGAGCTCGCTGCCCCAGGAGGCGCTGGACGGGCTGGGCTCGCTGAGGCGGCTGGAGCTGGAGCGGAACATGCTGGAGGAGCTGCGGCCTGGGACCTTCGGGGCCCTGGGCGCGCTGGCCACGCTGAACCTGGCCCACAACGCCCTGGTCTACCTGCCCGCCATGGCCTTCCAGGGGCTGCTGCGTGCCCGCTGGCTGCAGCTGTCACACAACGCGCTCAGCGTGCTGGCCCCCGAGGCCCTGGTGGGCCTGCCTGCCCTGCGCCGGCTCAGCCTGAACCACAATGAGCTCCAGGCCCTGCCCGGGGCCGCCTTGTCCCAGGCCCACGGCCTGGCCAGGCTGGAGCTGGGCCACAACCCTCTCACCTACACGGGCGAGGAGGACGGGCTGGCGCTGCCCGGCCTGCGGGAGCTGACGCTGGACCATGGCGCGCTGCAGGCCCTGGGCCCCCGGGCCTTCGCCCACTGCCCGCGCCTGCACACCCTGGACCTCCGAGGGAACCAGCTGGACACGCTGCCCGCGCTGCAGGGCCCGGGCCAGCTGCGCAGGCTGCGGCTGCAGGGCAACCCGCTGTGGTGCGGCTGCCAGGCACGGCCCCTGCTCGAGTGGCTGGCACGGGCGCGCGTGCGCTCGGACGGCGCGTGCAGAGGGCCGCGGCGGCTGCGAGGCGAGGCCCTGGACGCCCTGCGGCCCTCAGACCTGCGCTGCCCGGGAGATGCGGCCGAGGAAGAGGAAGAGGAGCTGGCAGGCACTGCGCCCCGAGCCCCTCCGCTCGCCCCGCGGGAGGAGGACGGGGCGGCCACGCCCTGCCCGCGCGCCTGCGTGTGCGCCGCGGAGTCCCGCCACAGCGGCTGTGAGGGCCGCGGCCTGCAGGCGGTGCCCCGCGGCTTTCCCAATGGCACTCAGCTCCTGGACCTGAGGCGGAACCACTTCCCGTCGGTGCCTCGAGCGGCCTTCCCTGGCCTGGGCCACCTGGTGTCGCTGCACTTGCAGCACTGCGGCATCACAGAGCTGGAAGCCGGCGCCTTGGCGGGGCTGGGCCGCCTGCTCTACCTCTACCTCTCTGACAACCAGCTCTCCGGGCTCAGCGCAGCCGCTCTGGAAGGGGCCCCCCACCTTGGCTACCTGTACCTGGAACGCAACCGCTTCCTGCAGGTGCCGGGGGCCGCCCTGCGCGCCCTGCCCAGCCTCTTCTCCCTGCACCTGCAGGACAACGCTGTGGACCACCTGGCACCTGGGGACCTGGCTGGGGTGCGGGCCCTGCGCTGGCTCTATTTGAGTGGAAACCGCATCACCCAAGTGTCCCCTGGGGCGCTGGGCACAGCTCGGGAGCTGGAGAAGCTTTACCTTGACAGGAACCAGCTGCGGGAGGTGCCCACTCGGGCCTTGGAGGGGCTGCCTGCCCTCCTGGAGCTGCAGCTCTCTGGGAATCCACTCAGGGCCCTGCAAGATGGGAACTTCCGGCCTGTGGGCAGGTCACTGCAGCACCTCTTCCTGAACAGCAGTGACCTGGAGCAGGTGGGCACCTGGTGTGTGACCAGGGAGGCAGCATGGGGCTATATGTGGCACACATTCACCCATCAGACATTTGCCTCCTTCAGTGCCAGGTTTTAGGCTCAGCATGGGGACCTGAGATAAACAGACAATTCACCCAGGTGGGGGTTATAAGCCAGGTGGAATTCAGTGCCACAAGCTAGAGGCCTGCCCAGGGAGGGCACTGCCAGGGCATGGAGGAGAGGAGGGAGGAATTTGGGTTTATCTAGGTTGAGAGTCCATGAGGCTTTCCTTTATGGGAGTTGGGGTTCAAGCTGTAGAAAGAACCATGAATTGGGCAACAGGGTGACTTGGGTTTTGACCAGCACTGACCTCCCAACCTGCGCCTCCTTGGGCTCCACAACCTCTCCTTTGCTAGGGAGGGTGGAGCTTCCCCCAGCTCAGGGGCAGGACAGGCCTGGCAGGAGCTCACACCAGGGCCTGGCACCTTCTTACAGATTTCTCCTGGAGCCTTCTCAGGCCTGGAGCTGGGGCTCCAGAGCCTGCACCTGCAGAAGAACCAGCTTCGGGCTCTGCCCGCCCTGCCCAATCTCAGGCAACTGGAGCTCATTGATCTCAGCGGCAATCCCTTTCACTGTGACTGCCAGCTTCTTCCGCTGCACAGGTAGGCACCCCACTCTGGACCCCCAGCCAGGGACCCACCAGCTGCTCTCAGTCAAGCCCCCAAGTGTCTCTGGGTACCATGTCAGTAAGGCTGATCAGCTGGCAGGGGCCAGAGTGGGCCCGGCCAGAGCAAGAAAGCATGTGCTCTTCTGGGATTAGGTATTCTCCCTGGGGAGGGCTTGGTGGACTTCTCTGAACCTCATTTCCTTCATCTATAAAGTGGAAATGATATTTGCCCTGCCTAGAGGACTAGGACCTACTCATTGTGTGTATTATCTTATTTAATTTTACATAATTACACAAGGAAGTAACAAGACTATGGAGGCAGGCAGACCTTGGCTTTGAGATTTTACCAACAAACTCAAGTCATATGACCTGTGTCCACCCGTGAAAAGGGATGAATATTTTATCTACCTCAACATGACCTCTGTAAGAATTCAGTTAAATTAGTTAGCAGAGCCCTTTGTAATTTACTGTTCTCATTCCGCTTTCATAGAGAAGGGGTCTGAGGCTTGAAGTGACTTTGAGGTCACTGATGGGTGAAGCTCTGAGCCAGGACTCTCAGAGGAGCTGCTGCCCCCAGGCTCACTGCCCAATTCCCCACCACTCCTCACTCTCCTCAGGAAGCTCCTGACTGCACATCAGCACAGTGGGCTCCTCGACCTCTCATCTCTCCTCAGGTGGCTAGCTGGGCTGAACCTGCGGGTGGGGGCCACCTGTGCCACCCCTCCCAGTGCCCGGGGCCAGCGAGTGAAGGCTGCAGCTGCTGTCTTCAGAACCTGCCCAGGCTGGGCTGCCAGGAAGACTAGGCGGACACCGACCTTCAGGCTTGGGGGCAGGAGGACCCCCATCAAGAGGAGACAGCAAGAAGCAGACAAGGTTGGCCTGGGGCTGGTGGGCCAGGTCCCAGGGCCTCAGGGCCATTAGATAGGGTTGTGTTAGCTCCCTGGGGGCTGCCACAACAAAGTACCAGGAACTGGGTGGCTTAGAATAACAGAAATGTGTCTGTTCTGGAGGCTAGAAGTTGGAAATCAAGGTGTTGGCAGACCACACTGTCCCTGAAGCCCTGAGTGGAAGGATTGGAAGGATCCTTTCTTGCTTCTTCTAGTTGCTGGTGGCCTGGGACATTCCGTGGCTGACAGTGGCATGATCCCACCAGCTTCCATCTTCACCCTATGTCCTGCCTCTTCTCATCAGCCTCTCTGTGTCTGTCTCTGCAAGTCCCCCTTTAGGAGTACCAGCCACATTGGAGCAGGGCCACCCTAAAAGGACCTCATTTTAATTCCATTACCTCTGTTAAGACCCTATTTCCAAATAAGTTCAGATTCTGAGTTACTAGAGGTTAAAGGCTCCAATGTATCTTTTTGGAGGAAACACAGTGAACCCATAACAGCTTTCCAGGGGCTGGGAGTGAGGAAGGACCCCCAGTGGTGGCTGAGCAAGATCTGCCTTAGAAGCCAGACCCAGAGCTAGTTTAGTGACTTAGCAATGTCAATCTCATGTGGCACCGACCTTCTTCCAGGCACTGTGCTATTCAACAGCATTGGTGCTTCTCCCAGAGTCAGCCCCAGCAGAGGCATGGGAGGGGCTGAGCTGGGCTCAGGAATGCAAGATCTGAAGAGTCCAACTCCAGGGCAGGGCCTCAGCCGAACGGGTCTGATGGCTTCAGCAAGAATCAGGACTTCAGACCATTTGATCCAGTCTTACAGGGAAATATTCCTAGGGCTAGCTGAGCAAGGTGGTGCACCCCTGTAATCCCAGTGGCTCAGGAGGCTGAGGCAAGACCGACAGTAAGTTCAAGGCCAGCCTCAGCAATTTAGTAAGACCCAGTATCAAAAATTAAAAAAAAAAAGGGCTGGGGATGTGGCTCAGTAGTGAAGCACCAGCTGGGTTAAAGCCCCAGTACCAATTCCTAGTGCCAGTGCTGGAGTTCTGGGTTATTTTAACAAATAGCAGTTTCTCCCCAGGATACAAAGGAATTGAAAGCTAAGGGCTCGACCCTGGCAGTGTTCAAGCTGGAGGTGTTCCCTGCTGAGGGCAGGAGGCTGCCGGTCTTTCTCCATTGAGACCCCAACATTTTGGTGTCTGGCACACAAAAGTGCTTTGACACGTTGATGGACGAGTGCCAGAGTACTGGGGGCAACTGGTGGGCCACACTGGGCTGTCCCTGCTGCTGTCACTTAGCATTGTAGATTTAAGCAACCAATTCACAAAACTTCACCTCAGAGTCACGTCATCGTGCCTCACAGGGTGACCATGAAGGCGAGTAGGCTGATCCTGCCCTTGGTCTTGTGCCTGGCATAGGAGGCTCTAATAAGACATGGTTATTCCCTTGCTGCCCTGCCTTTGAACAGGGTGGTCTTTCCAGGCTAGTCCTGGAAAGGCTGAGAGGTGCAGGGTGGTCCCCTACAGTGCTTGGTCTGATCTCTAGTGGTGGCCACAGGGGGCCGCAGGCAAGGGCAGCAGGGAGTGAGGAGGGTTTGGGGATGCTTCCCAGTCAGCAATCCATTGTTGAGACTCCGCGACCTTCAGTTCCACCCAAGGGCAAGTTGAGGCACATGGTTCATTCTGAGACTTGAGTAAAAATTTCCAGGTTGACACTTCCACCTGTGACAAGTCAGACAGACCCACAGCACCAGGAATGTGGGTCACACTCCTGGAGCCCAACTTTGTACCAGGCCTGAGCGAGGCACTAGGGACAGATAAGATCCAGGCTCCCTTTGGGGAACTTGTGGCCTTTGGGGAGGGGAACAGCAGAAATGTAGGGACACATCAGTATGTGGTTGTTATGGAGACGGGGCACTCGGCAGTGATGATAGATGACACTTACTCCCTGGCGGAGAAGTGTGAGCCAGTCCAGGGCCAAGTGACAGCCCAGCATGTCCTGCGGCTCTGCCCTCATCATGGAACTTCTAGGACACAGCTTCTTCATTCAGGAACTAAAGGTCAAATGGCATATAAGCCACTTGTCAGAAGCTCTTGGGTCAGAATAATGCCTAACTGCTAAGGATCCTGAGGAGATGAATTCTCTTCAGCTGGACTCCTGAGGGACAGCAGAGCCAAAGTGCACCCTGGGACACTCTTCCTCCCAATATCCTCCCGAGGGGCTGCTGTCACTGGCATGTCACCACCTGAGTCCTGGAGCTGGTGTGTGCTGAGGGCAGGAATGGCCGTTCTGAGCAGAGACCTGCCTGGTCTCTAGGCAGCCCAGCGGTCTTCCATTCTTAACCCATTTTCTTCTTGAGGAAATCAGGCTAGCCAACGGGCCACTTTCTGGGCATGTGTTGAACAGGGCTTTATCAAGGGGAAAAGAACCAAGTTCTCTCTGCATCTGTCCAGAAGTGCCCAGCCTGTGATGACTGATGCCTGCCCCATCTCAGGCACAGACCCGTTGTGGGTCCTGAGCCAGCCTAGTCTGCACACCTCAGCAAGCAGCTGACAGACCCGAGTCCAGGCTGCCTGCACAAGAGTCAAGAGCCATGCAGGCCCTGAAGGCAGCTGGACACAGCAGCACAGCTGCAGCCCTGGCAGGACAGAGGGACGCACATGGCACCATCCAACACACAGGTGGGAAGGAAAGGGCTGTTTCTACCCTGGGTTCCAGGATGCTACACGAGAGGCAGGACAGCTCAGTTTTGAGGGAGACTAACTGGGAGAAGCAAAAGCAGCTGGAAACTGGGCAGACACCAGGTGAACCTCTAGAGTGCAGTTTCCGAGGCCACTGGAATCAGGAATTAAAAGGACAATAAGAAAAGCGAGCTGGGAGACACACCCATTATACCTGCCTGTCCCCTACTCCAGGGGGTGCTGTGAAGGACGGGGAAGAGTGTCCTTGAAGGTTCATGGGCAGCAGTACCGGCCATACCCTAGGTCAAGGCCATACCAGACTTGGGTTAACAGTGGGGACAAAGAATGAAAATGTCAGGCGGATCCAACCCCAGCTAGAACCCGGGGCAGGCCAGGCACTGTGGGGGGGGGGCCCAAGGTAGGAGAGCTGAGCTCCCTGTTGCTGTCCCCAGCAGTAAGCAGCTTGGCCTCCACCCTGTCATCAAGTTGGCCCAGGCCACTGCAAGCCTCCCCCACTTTCCTTTTAGGAAATACGAACCAGAGAAGAGAGGTAAAGGCCATGACAGGTCACCAATGCCCGTTATCCTGGTCAGTGCTTCTCAGCTGCCTGCCACTGCACAGTCCCTCCAGTGCCTTCTGCTTGGTTTGATTTTAGGCAGAGCTGCTCCTGTCCCACTTCTGTCCCGGGGACCTTCCCATCAGAGCTGCTTCATAATTTTATTCTTGGGCAAACATACAGGCGGATCACACACTGTCTTGTCCCTCGTCTTCCAGTGTGATGGCAGCAGTGCCCACACCTGTTGGGGGCACAGCAGATTGGGCAGCAAGTGCACCAGCTTCAGAAGCCTGGGGCCACACAGGGAGTCACTCAGACCAGCTTGGGGCCTCAGGCATCCCCAGGCACACAGGCCTCCAGAGGAGGGTGGAGGCAAGAGGCGGGTCCTTCAGCAGGCAGCCTCCACATAAGAGGCAGGACATACACAAAAAAGGCTCAGTCTCCCATCTTAAGTGGGGTGGAAGGGTGGTGGCACAGGAGCCCCAGCCTCCCCTCTGTTCCATGGCCTGGGCTGGCTCAGTCATCAGTCTCTTGCTTGATGTTCTCGAGGGGGACAGGCAGCTCTGGACTAGGAGCCTTGTCAGGAGAAGCCATGTCCAGGTGCTCTTCCTTCACACACACAGCAATGACTAGAGGGAAGCAGAGAATGAGTGTGCAGGCCCAGGAAGGTTGACAAGGGACCTGGCTTCCTGCAGAGGGGGCCCCCAGGAGCCGGGGAGGCCACCTCTACCCTCCTGCTCACTTCCCAGAGGCTGCAGCAGAGAGGCCCAGGGTGCCAAGCACAGCCTGCCTGGACTGGGTGTGCCAGAGATACTGGCATCTGCCAGTCTGCCCCCACCCTGCCAAGTCCATCCAGTGGGCAGAGGTGCAGAGGTAGAGGGCGGGGCACCTGGCTGGACAGAGACTGGGCTTGGCTCAGAGTTGGGGGCGGGCGTTTGGGAAGTTCTACAGGCCCAGTGGTTCAAGGACTGCTTGGTGCCCAGAAAACTCTCTTCAAACTTGACTCTACTCTTCTGTGCCCAGGTGGGAAAGAAGAGGGGCCGCCTCTGAGCACGGAGCAGGCCGGCCCTGCCTTGATCTCGCCCGGCGGCTCTTACTCTCGTCAGGAATGGGCTCCGATGGGACCTTCCCCGCAGCCTGCAGGTCGTCCTCCAGCAGGGGCTTCTTGGACCCCTGTCTAAGGGGCCGAGTCTTGGTCGGCGGGATTCTTTTCCCTTTGAATAAAAATGGAATGAACTCAGCCTTAGGGTCATATCTATATGAGGCTTGCAGGGCTGGGTCTCGTCCAGAGGGGAAAGCGCCAGTTCAGGGCAAAGGGCCTGGCCTACAACTGATAGTCCTCCCCACTGGTTGGACGTCCCAAGGTCGGAGAGGTTTGCTCCAGTCGGGGATCACTACCACCTCCTTGGGGCCAAGGCTTGGGGCAGTCCCCGGCGTCAATCCCTCCACTAGTGACCTGCCACATCCCAGCCCTTACCATTCTGAATGGCACAGTGCCTCCTTCTATGCCCCATGTTTTTTCTTTTTCTTTTTGGGCTGCTGGGGATTGAACCCAGGACCTTGGGCATGCTAGGCAAGCACTCCACCAACTGAGCTACCTCCCCAGCCCATGTTTTCTTATTGTGGCACTGGGGACTGGACCCAGTGCCTGGCACATGCCAGGCCTGTGCCCTACTTCTACGCTGCATCCAGCCCTCTTCTTTATCTTACTGTGAGACAGGTGTCACTAAATTGTCAGGCTGGCCTTGAACTTGTGATTCTCCTCCTTCAGCCTCCTGAGCTGCGGGGATTACAGGTGTGCACCAGTGTGACGGCCCAAATCCCACTTGACATATACCATACCCTCACTCCTGCTCAGTCCTGCCCAGGACTAGTCCCTGTCTCAGCTCGTCCTGTTTAAGCACGTGTTCCTCTCCTTGTGGTGCCATGTTGAGGAAATCTACCACCTATCCCCAGGGCCTGCAGCTCTGAGGATGGCCCAGTCAGGGCTCAGGATCTATTCGGGGTGGGCCTAAAAGCCCGGTGGAGTCTGCCTGCCCACTCAGCAGCCCCCTGTGCTCCCCTCCACCAAGGGGGTCTTGAGAGGGCAACAATCTCAGGACAACGGTATCTATTTCCTCCTCTGCCTTTTTCTTAAGACCTAGCATCTGCAGGTGCCTCGAGGCATGCTGGGTTCCAGCTCTGCGCAGCGGGAATGGAGATGACCTTTCTAAGTACGATCTCTTGTTCTTTTTCCTCAGCGTCCTGACCACTGTCAGAGACTGAACTCCCTATTGATGCTCTGGGAGACACAGGGTGCAAGGCCCCTGGGCTGATAGGCAAGTGAGGAGAGGAGGGAACAGGAAGATGGCTGCGCGGGGCGGGTGGCCGCGAGAACAGGCCGGTTTGGGGCTTGCTTACTTTTCTTCCCAAACTGTTTCTTTTTCTTTTTTGTGGCTTCTTTGGCTTTCAAAGGTGTGGCTGGTTCTGTGATTGAAAGAAAGAGATGAGAAGAGAGCACTGGAGGATGCAGGGCACATCCTGAGGCCCCTGGTCCCCTCACACACAGGGCACCCCAAGGACGGCAGCCTCAGCTGGGTAGTGAGAACAGGGTGGGCCTGGGGAGGACCTGGGGAACAGCTGTCCCGGCTTCCCACCCTCGTCTCCAGGGCTGCTCAGGTGTCTGGGTGGTTTACCTGGGTGCACAAGGACCCGAGCCTATGACAGAGTGGGCAAGATGAAGGAAGGAGCTCTGCAGGCCGGAGGGAGGGGGGACAGAGAAGTCAGGAGAGGGGGGAGGCAGGGCTCTCTGTGCAGAGCGTCCCCAAGACTTCTCCATCCCATGCCAAGGAGCTGAGCTGGCATGGCAGGGCGGGGCGGGGAGGTGGGCAGGGAGGAAAGAGGAGGAGGAAGAAAGTCAAGAGCCCCTCAGAGTCACGGGAGCCCCGACCTGCAGCCACAGGAGGCTGGAGCTGGTAGCCAGTGAGTTCGCACCAGCCGACGGGGTAGATGTCCGGGGACTCGCAATCCACCCACTGGTCATACTCGTTGTCCCAGCCATCAAAGTGGATGCTGAGGAGCCGGTGAACCACCCGCTTCACGGTGGCCACACAGATAAGCCGGGGCTCCATCAGGTCCACAGCCTCCAGCTTCATGCCCACCTTGAAGCCATGGTTGGGGCAGTCCTGGGGGAAGAAGGCACTTGCCAGGCCAGCCAGCTCGCCACCCCAGCAGGCCTGCCTAAGGTGCAGAAGTGGGCAAGGGGCTGGCACCGAGGCCTGTGGGGGAAGGTACTCTGGACACCCACTCATTGAGCCCTTCCCAGGCACCAGCCCTTCCCCTCTTCTGAGGGGACCAGCTAACAGGCTCAGCGAGCGCCGTGTCACAGTGTGGGACTTCTCTGGACATAGTTGATCTCAGCGGTAGGGCCTCAAGAGAAGAGGCTGGAACTGCTGCCACAGACAGCAGTGGGAGGGCCAGTCCTGAGGCCACCACAGACCCCCTGCTCCATCCCTGGTCTCCTCACCATGTTGAAGAGTCTTGATGGAGCTGCTCTTGACTTGGTCTTCTCCAAGTAGGTGTCCCAGTTGAAAGTCTGTGTCTCATACCCTGGAAGAAAGGGTAGGGGAAGCAGGAAGTAGGAAGTTGGTTAGGGATAAGGGACACACTGTCTGAAGGTTCACTACAACTTGGTCAAGCCCAGCCTGCAGTCTCCACAGCAACTCTTTCTTCCTTCCTTCCTGGGCTGGCACCTGTTCTATGACCACAGTCTTGTTGCACAGGTTGTTCACTGGCCAATGGCACAAGTGGAAGCTCCATTTACCAACCATACACTGGCCATAGGGCTGACTCAGCCCAGGCAGTGTAATGCCTAGCGGTGGCTGCTACCTCCCCCATACTGAGACTCCATGCCCCAGGGCTGACTTGACCAGCAGTCTGGGCCTGTGGCCTCATCCTGCAGGGCCAGTACTTCTTGCTACGCCAGTCTTACCTTTTGGGGGTGTGAGCTCAATGTCATTCTTTTGGCAGAAGTTGGCTGGGAAGATGGCATGGGAAGAGGCATGGTAACAGAACCAGTCCGAGCCATCTGTGGAGGGCCCCCCGTCCACACAGATCATCAGGTAGCCGTCCAGGAGAACCTAGGGCGGGCGTGGGGCAGACACACAGCCTGTCATGAGCTGCAGTCTCTCTGAGAAGATGGCTGTAGCAGGGGCCGAGGCAGGTGAGTCTGACCGCATGTGGAGCCCACCTTCCCAAGAATACTGAGCCGCCCTTGCAGAGTGCCCAACGCTCCTGTGACACCCTTGTGTGTCATCAGGCGATTTATTCTAAACAGTTAACACCACACCAACAGGGAACACATCTGTTGTTGCACTGTTGGTGTGTGAGCTCAGGGCCCAGCATGGCGCGGGCAGGACGGAGAGGTCAGCAGCACCCTCCAGCAGGGACAAGGGAGGTGCTGCTTCTAGGCAGTGGCAATAACGGAGGAGGCTAGGAGCCTGGCATGGCCCTTGGTTAGGCCTGCACAAAAGGAGATGGCCAAAGGCAGGAAGGCCCTGGTGAAGTGACAGGGCAGGGCTGGCACCTGAGTCAGGGCCAGGCTCAGGTATTCAATATGCATGTGTTCCTGACACGAGGCAGGCAAGGCTCCACTCACAGAGTCAGACACAGCAGGAGCAGCCAGCGAGAGCACCGCTGTGTACCATCAGCCACGACAGAGGTGGGAGGGTGGCCCAGGCTCACCTTGCAGATGGTGGCCACGCAGATGTTGCCCAGGTTCAGCGGGTCAATGGCCTCCAGCTTCATCCCCTCCTCAAACCAGCCGCCCTCTGTGTAGACAGCTCGTACCTTAAAAGGAATAGGGTGATTGGGGGAAGGTGGGAGGAACAGGCATTGTACAATCTGGGCCTGGGAAGCAGAGGCGGGAAGAGCCAACCCCAGGGAGAAGCCAGGCTCCTGAGACCTGGCGTGGACAGTGGCCAGGGAGGAAGACACCCATGGCTTTGCCTCACCTTCTTGAACAGATAAGGAACGGCATCACAGTAGATTTTCCGGAAGGTAGGATGATGGGCCATGTCACTTCGCCTCTCTTTTGAGCAGACGGAGGGAGTGAGGAAGAGAAAGGAGTTGGAAGGTGGTTCCGGGACCATGCCCACGCCTCCCAGAAACCCCGGCTACTCAGCCTCTGCTCTGGGCTATGTGCCAGCCCTCTAGACTGGAGGGCACAGGCTTAATCAGGAAGCATCAGAAGCTCTGTGGGGACTACACGGCCCTCCAGACCTAGACCCTCATGACATCAGGGCCAGAGCATCTGGGTTCGAATCTTGGTTTTACCACTTACACACTAGGCTGAGTGACTTCAGTCATGTCACTCAGCCTCTCTGGATTCCAGTACCATCCTCTGCAGGGTGGTGATGGTCCTGAGGGGCAGGGCACTCCCAGTCTGGGGTCACGCTGGCCTGGGGCTCTACTGACCTGACATCTTGATGCTATGGCCAACACGCCGTGACCAACCCACTGGATGGATCAGGGGGCTCCACATGTGGCACCAAAAGTCATCGTCACTGTCACCATCCTCATAGAGGAGCCGCAGGCGACCCCCGATTACTGTGTCCACCACAGCCATACGGGTCCGTGACACCTGGGACTTGTCCACAACCTCAAGGCGCATGCCCTGCCGAAAGGGGTACTTCATGCTCTCCACCATCTGCAACGACATCAGGACACAGGTGTGCTGCTGCCTCCTCCGACTGCCCCCCTCTCTCAAGTCAGTGGAGGACAGGGAGGGTGTGGTAGAATCACTCCAGACACGAAGGCAGGGGCGGGGCAGGTGGCCCTCCCTTCCCATAGGTTCACATTCGTCCTGATTCCCTAGAAAAGCATCAAAGACAGGCACACGGCTCTCAGTGGGTGCCCCGCTTCACCTCACCAAACTCAGTAAGTCAAATCAAGAGGCTGGACCCACAAGACCTACTTTAGACCAAGAAAATGGAAGTGATCCAGAGTCGAATAGACTCCAGTGCCAGAGCTGGGCCTGGAACCTGTGTTACCGTGGTCTGCACTGGCCCCCAGGCACCTCACACTCCCCTCTACCTCCTGGCCCTCTCCAGTTCCAAGACTTGTGTCCAGGGGCTGGGGATGTGGCTCAAGTGGTAGCGTGCTCGCCTGGCATGCGTGCGGCCCGGGTTCGCTCCTCAGCACCACATACAAACAAAGATGTTGTGTCCGCCAATACTTGAAAAATAAATATTAAAAAAAAAA